CATTTCATCATTTACTGATAGTTCCGGTAGCGCCTACGTCCCTTAACTTTAGTACTCTTTCTGATCTGCGCATGCGATGACAAAACTGAGTGTAGGAGTTCAGCAAACGCAGATATTAGGGTTCTTGTTCTTCTGCTGTACAAAACTTACACTGGATAGAGACCGATGTTCGGTACAGGCGCATTGCGAATCCTTAACATCATTAGATGTGGGCCCGCATGAGTAGCTTTGTCTTTCGACAACAGCCTCTTGGTTGTGCAGGGATTTCGCGCGGGCAACCCCAATTCCCAGCCTCTTGGCTCGTTTAACTGTTGATATTGCTTTTCCGTTAAACTGACCGTGATACTGGCTCGTTTGTCGACGTAAAAATTCCCACTTGTTCGCGAAGGTCTGAAACGCAGCACTTGTAAATTGTGGGCCAATGTCAGAGATCACTTTCTCCGGTATTCCGTGTCGGGCGAAGTGACATCTAAGCTTGTTAATGATTACTTACATGGTGGTAGCGGTGAGTGGATCCATCTAAAATAGACACTATAATAGTCCACAGTGAGCAAATAGTCTTTCACGTTGTCACAGAACAAGTCCACCACTAATTTCCGCCATGGTCGATTTTAAATCTCATGCAGGATTATTACTTCCCTGGATTGGCGGGTGTAGTGAAACCGGCAGGCTGAACAACTTCATATGTGGTCTCGAATTGAAATTGTCATCCAGAGGCAGAACATTATTTCGCCTGATCTACTAATACTATAGTTGGCACTCAAGTGGGTTCAATGAGCGTGTTGTAGCATTTCTTTGCGAAGTAGCAGTGGGATCAAAATGCGATTTCATATAAACAAAAAACTGTCAAACTTCATGAATTAATCCCAAAAGTTGAAGAACGGTGTTAATTTCTTCGGAAATATATTCTCTGTATCTGGCCTTTCCCTCAAAATCACGTCTAGCAACGCCCCACAGGTCGAGCCTGTCTCCGAATGACGCTTTATCACTTTCACGCGATCTTCCCTTACCGCAAGATGTACGAGATTGACGGCCTCGAGTTCTTTCTGTTGATGTTTGGCTATCGGAAAATGAGCTCTCGACTGAGCGTCCGCGAAAAATAGTTACATCCTTGGAGTGCATGCCAGATACATGTCGTATTCTTGGGGCCAGATAAGCATCCGTTGAAGATGTTGAGAGACACTGTGTAAAGATTCACTAGCTTTTCACATGAGTGGATTATGGTCCGTATACACTGTAGTCTTCCTTCCAAATCTGTAATCGTTAAATTGCTTTATTGCGTAGAAGACGGTAAAGATCTCTTTTTCGATCGGCGCATAGCGCTCTTTCGCAACTGTGGGGGCCCGACTACGGAAATCCAAGGGTTTACCATCCTGCAGGAGAACGGCACCTATTCCGCTTTGGTTGCTGTTACACTGCACCTCCAAATGTAGAGCTGCAGCGTAATAACCAAATACTGGTGCACAGTTATTAAGACCCTTGACGGTTCTAAAGTCTGCCTCCTGCGCTTCTCCAAATCCACTATACACCTTTGTGAGTCAGTCTCCGAATGGGCGTCATGATTTCAGCAAATCTTGGCAAGAACCGGCTCAAATACTTCACCATGCCATTTAAACGACTAACAGCCTTGACATCCTTAGGTTGTGGCATCGCCTACACCGGCTTGGACCGGATCGACGTTTATTCCCTCAGATGTCAGAGCGTGCCCGTGGAATATTACTTCCGGTTTCCAGAGCTCAACTTTCGCTTTTGAGCTTTGGGTTCTTTTGCACGCATTGTTGCAAAATTGGTGCAGATTGACCTCATGTTCCTGTTCTGTTGAGCCGTAAATCAGTACATCGTCTGCTACACAAGTTGCACTGCCTATGTCCTCAATAGCTCGCAATAACCGCTGTTGAAAACTTCTGCTCCAAACCTTTAAACCAAACGGTAAACGTAGTTAGCGAAATGGCAGAAAAGTGTGGCGAAGATCGTCAGGAAACTGGACTCCTCATCTAGGAACACGCGCCAAAAGGCCCATGAGAGATCAACCTTGGTGAAGTACTTCACCTAAGGCAATCGTTGGCAGTGTATAGTGTTCTCTACACAAAGCTTAATGCAACAGTTTAGGACGAAATGGCTTAGACACAAAACACCGTTCCTTTTCGTAACAATTGCGACTTGGTTAAGCAAGTCTGTCGACTCATGGACCCTAGCGGCTACACCCAAGTTCGTCAAATTACTTAATTCGGTGGCGAACTTATCACGTAATGCAAACGGAACCCTTCTACCTGGCAGCGCAATCGGTCCTATTGACGCATTTATTGAAAAATGCACGGAACCTTCAAATCTCCCCAAACATGGGTTACACACGGACGGTTATGGTTTACTAAGATTTGTCTCCGCTTTACATACACGCACAAAACGGTCATGGTTAAAATGCATAAAGCCAACATTGGATGGAATCCATGCCGAGAATTTGTGTGAGGTCATCCTTCATGATCACGAAATCCAACTGATGTGAGGAGCTGTTTTGGGGATTGATCACTTAGATTGTGACCAAACCCTTTCTCTGAAGCTTCCTGAGCAGGTGGCACTCGAACCTGGGCAGCGCTTTGCTGGAATTATCCTAATGGTAATACCCAAGTCCAACTGCAAACGCACTATCTCGTCACCAACCATTAAACTTGCATAGACGCACTTATTTGATTCTGTCCGCGACACACTGCGGATTGAGTGTTCATATTCAGAGGGGGTTGTGTCACGATAGAATGCTTTCACCTTCGAAGGCTGACATGTTCGAGTGAAATGATTCTGTCCGCCGCAACTGGCGCAAATTCGGCCCCACACCGGACATTGATCGCGATCCTTCGGGTGCCGCGCGGTGCATAATTTACAGGTATCGTTTGCCTTGGAAACAGGATTGGCAGTTTTGTCATGTAAACTGGATACGACACATTGCACTGCTTTAGTCGGCAACCGCATTTGCAGGATATGGTGTGCAGCTGACGATTCACTGTGACATTTATCAAGAAATTGTCTGAGCGATAAATGCCGTTGCTGCAACTGACATTTGTGATGCTTTCACTGGTGAACGGCACGATTCTATCTCTGATGAGTCTGTCAGCCAGAAAATTGTAGAAATTACAGGATCGAGCCATGATCTTCAGCTCCTTAAGATAGTTCTCGATAGTTTCGTTGGGTCGCCGGTTTGGGGTAAAAAAAGTGATACCGCTGATACGTCTCGTTAGTCTGGTCTTTGCAGAAATCACTGAAATTTTGGGCGACAGTGTCCAGATCAGCTTGGTCTTGGTCCTTTTCGTACTGCATCGTTTTAAAGAAGCAGCGTGCTTCCTCCTTAACCGTATGTCTCACCAAGTCAAATCGATACGCCATCGGTTATTCGTTCAGCCGCACCAGTGCACAGAAATCGATCCACTTGCTTTTCTGGATTCTCCAATTATTGTCCAAATTTTGTTTTTCCATGTTTAGTTGGGCAGGTGGTCGCACAGCTGGTTGCGCTCTAATCAGCAATTGAGCACCATTGGGTGATCTTAGCATGGTTTTCTCTGACACCATATCGCAGAAAGCCGTCTTTCATAGACCAATGGTTTGTTCGGCAAACCGGACTCAACGAAAATGACAGCTGAAAAGTAGGAACCTCGAGATAAATAACTAAATCATTCCCATAACTAACGACTGATGGGTTCGTGAGATTCTTCCTCATCAGTTAAACAAAACCGCTCCAGCTAACCAATCAGCGCGTAGACGAAATATGCATATCTGTCCAATCAACTGTTCAGTTCGTTTGCGTCACACTAGCCACTTGCTTCGCCTTGTAAATCGTATCGTTCTTCTGCTTGCATAATCCCATCATGTTGGTGATCTGAACATTATACATAAATGTCAGGCAAAAGCTTCAATCGACTGATGGCGACAATTCTTTGACAAAATTTATGTCGTCTTCAGACGCAACTGTACGAGAAGTGGGTGAAAAGGCGAGGGGGATAATGGTGTGTGATGTTGACAACTACTAAACAAACTCCATGCACCGCATTTTCATAATACATGAAATTACGTATGGCGTTTTCGACAGCTTTACGACAACAATCGATGCTCTTCCTGATGCTTTCTTATACAGATTTCTTGTTTTTCATTATATCCAGCGACGATCAACTTACTTAAGTAAAGGGATTTAGTGGTAAACAGAGTGCATGCAAATCGAGACAGAGGAAAAGTTAGACGTTTACATATTTAAAATTCCAAACAATTGTATGTCGTAGGCCATACCGGACGATCGTTCCTGTTTGTAGAGAACTGTATCGGTTTTTAGGAGGAACGTTTAATGTCGGCACGCAGCAATCGTGCCTCGTAAGCCAAAGGGGCGGTTTCGAGCCTGCGTAGGGAGGGGGATACCCTCGCAGTATACTTGGCCCACGTGTGACTGGTGTTGTTTGCGTAGTAGCGAAGCGTCAGTACTGCGCATCGGCGTACCACCTATGCTTCTCCCTTTTCTTCTCACTTGACTGAGGCGGGAAAACCTCATTGCTGCCAATTATAAAACTATATATTTTAGATACTCCTGTGTTACTGGCTTTGTTTCATCTATTTACACACATAAAAATATTATTGTGCAAGCATTTCCCGAATTAGTGGGTATCTTTTGACCGCCACCAAAACAACTAGAAATTTAGTTGCGGCCCCCATTGCACAACCCCATAAATTCCGTGAAATCCGGCGGCGTTTCTTAGTGATCCGTAGTATAAAACAAACTGTTTGTCTTACGGCTTGGCTCGGAAGTAAATGATAGCTGCATCGCGATTAGACCTTAACTCACCGCGATACAAATACTCCAAATGAAAAATAATGTTTACTCTTTCACAGTGACTCCTGCAACAGCTGATCATTTCTGCATCATTTGGATAGCTGGTGAAACAATCATTTGCCACTGCACTTTACTACATTTATTGGGCTCGAGCTTGGACAATTACTTGCGACTGGTGAGACCTGAACTGCATGGAATGTCCGGTGGTCGACCAGCCACTCAGAGACTGAAATTGGCCTCGCCTTGGATTGTGTCAACTATCCAAACAGCAACACAAATCGGGCTCGGCCAACCGCTACCTCCTTCGCAACTGGATAACGGCCGCATGTGCGTTTGTCCCGATGTGAATTTCTTGATTCTGCGCACAAGTGTGGCCTACGCTCTTCCGCTGGTACTCAGTGTCACTTTGCTTTTCCTGGCTGCGCATAAACTTCGACACTATCACAACTGGCCGATTGACAGTGAACGACATGATAGCAAAGGCGTCAGTACAGACAACACACGAGGCAATAGCGGGCAGAGATCATCGCTTTCGGTGGATGGATCATTTGGATTAGCGAGTGATGCAATACCAAATACGAAACACAGTAGCCCCATTGTGGTTTTAGCAATAGTAAGTTGCATTACTTGCCGCATTCTTGAGGTGCAATCGACCTCTTAGAAAATTTTATCTCTTCTTAGTTGGGTCATGCTATTCATTAAAAGCTTGGTGTTTAATTGACATGGTTCCGGTTCACTTTATGATTCCTGAAAGCAAAGCTGAGCAGTAACAAAGAAAACTTGTGAGGAACCCAGGTGGAAATGGTTCAATTCTCTGACATTTGCTCCACAGTTGTGAGTTGACAGCGTACCTTTTAGGTCTAGACCCATGAGAAAGGACGACATAAACGTTCTAGTCTGTCGCCATGATTTCCGATGTGCAAGTCAGTGGTGCATAATAGTGCACATAGGACAAGTGCAATAAGCTGGTACTTCGCCCTGCTGACTGAAATTAACGACCTCCGTCTATAGACTTGTGTTGGTACAGCTTACTCATATCAGTCATACTTATGGAAGAGTAGTAGATAGCACCATAGACTGCATGAGAGCTGCTCCTTACTAGCTAAAGCAGTAAAGAGGGATACGAGGACAAGTGTAGGAATTAAGATCGCTCATTTTGCAGGGAGAGCTATCATCCTGGCAGGGAGGGTAGTCGGATACTGAGGTGAAAGGACCAACATGGCAAAAACCCAAACCAATTAGGAATTTGTGAGTAGGGTAAAAGTTTCGGTGTACCAATACGACGATGGTGTTCGAATCCTACCTTGCGTTTTATAGGGTTTAACAGAGGAACATGCGATCGGTCAAGTCGTGCAGGACGACTAAGACTAACTTTGCGAAAGTATATGCAGAATAGCCAAGAGGCATTTGGTGTTATCTTTAGTATGAAAAGTTAAAATTTAAAAAGCAGACTTTTAAAGATCAAGAAATAAACAATAAAAGTTCTCTTATGAGGCGAGATATTCCGGGGCTCAATAAGGTTTATTATTGCTGACAAGCTGAGACTTGCCCATATTCCGTCTTCGTCCATGACAAATACAGTGATAATTGTAAGGATTTCATCCCAGTAGTTCACAGGTTTCATAGCACAGCCGAATCCAGGAAAAGCACCAGACACTTTCCGCCCTATTGGGGCTCGTCAGTGGTGCGCATTCTCTCAGACCCCTACTGGGGATCGAACCCAGGACCGCTAGAGGCAGATGCCAACTAGCGGCCAGCTTAAGCCACTGAGCCAGGGAGGACGTTGGCTGGGCTATATAATTTGCAAACTAACTGGGATATAGCAGGACCAAGCTTCCACTGTCACGGACAGCGGCTAGCCAGCGAGGCCATGACGTCCTCACGCTAAGCGCTACATCCATAGCATTAGAAACTAGGAGGGGCTATATATTTTATATTACTCACAAGTAGCTTCATTTTAGTTGTAATTGTAAGCCTTTTATCCATTAGTTCACAGGGTACATAGCATAGCCTAGTCGGGAAACGCACTAGACACGTTTCATCCTACTGGGACACGTCAGTGGTGCTCATACCCTCGGTCGCCTACTAAGGATCGAAACCATGACGGCTATAAGCAGATGCCAACTGGCCAGCAGCTTAAGCTACTGAGCCATGGGGGACGCTGGCTGGACCGAGGGAATGCGCCCCACTGATGAACCCCAATAGCGCGAAACACGTCAGGTGTTTTTCCGCAATTGTGAACTACTGGGAGAAAACGCTTACAATTACAACTAAAATCAGGTTACTCATGAGTAATAACCAGTAATAGTCGACACCAGCGAGCACATCCGCTCATTGTGGTGCTGTTCAATTAGTAAGTTCCATACATTTTAATTTGAATTCTTTCCGAAACTGGCTCCACAAAGTGGCAAAATAGTATGTGGAATATCCTCTTATTTGAGAAATGTGGTCAGGTTTAGCTTTACGTTGGGTGAAAGTTATGCGTAACATTCCGGTTTCGTCACCTAACAAAAGGTTAGGTTGATTTATATTGATAACGAATATGAGGGGTAGATGTGAATGTAAATGGGAGGAGAATTTCTTTAAATTAACTGTCGCCGCATGATGCGCCAGGATTTTTTATTTACTACAAAAATTGGATGTCCCATTTCCAAAGCAAACTGGTTATCCACTGTAGCAGTACGATCTAAGCAAAAAGATCCTTATCACTGCTTACAACTTACATGCCAATTACTCAACCAGCGTTTTTATAACTGAATATTAGTTATTAACAAATCCGCGTTTTGTTGTTGCCTCATGCAAATCTATGACAACGGTAGCATGCAGCGTACATAATTAAAGAGGATGCGTGTCACCATAAAAGGAAAAGTTTGTATGTGAGCCAATCAAACCTATTTGCCTTAAGCAGCTCCTACCATATACTAGGTAACCTATTGTGACCTGTATTCTTACGCTTACTTTTGTCATTCGGTTATCCATACAGTATACATGATCAGGGACAAATCTAGCTGTATTTCAATGCAGATTTCGCGGACGTTGATTGCTCGTACACTCCAAAAGCTACTGCTGCTAATGCTTGGTCTGAACGTAACATGCTAACATACATCTAAACATGACTACTGATCGAGACGCGTGTTACGAAGGACCGGACATTTTAGTTCACTAGAATCCGTGATATCGGGCGTCGATTGATTCTATATTAGTGATGGTCACATTCAGTGCTAGTGAGGCAATTTTAACCTAATAGAGCTCCCAATCAGTGACGATGGATGTAACCCACGCAGCCTTCCTCCACCTGATAACGTTATTTTCGCGTCACCAAACGTACTACAGCGCTATTTTGATGATGACAGTAGACACTGAATTAAACTACACAATTGGAATAAAAGTCTAGCTAAAGTTCTTGACAGTTATTTGACGGAAGACATATCCTTTTTTCCATCCTTAGAATACAGACAATAATCTCAGTTGTTATCTTGATGGCTGCTCCCCGACGGTGCCAAATGCTGAAGGACCAACGTCAGATGTTCTTTATAATTCACCCGCTTACATTTCCGTTTCATCGGTCTGCGATGCAATCGAGGTGAGTCAGCACTTGAGGTCTTCAGATCTTGGAAAGCAAATCGGCTTGGACATAATTCAGTCACATCAACCAGTTGAAACTCAAGCTGACCAAGGACCGATGACAAATGAGCAGTCAGATAAAATGGACCAAGCACTTCAAAGATATGATGCGGTAAATGATTTCCTTCAGGACCCGGTCAGGCTGTTGGATCATTTTTGTCCAACTCACGGACACGTTGTGGTCACAGTGCCTACCGGATGTATTGACACAATCAAGCCTTCCGTTCCTCAACTCATAGCAGACCATATGGATATGAAGGAAAAGACGGCTGTGCAACATTCACAGCTTACATGTGCCACAACGGAGCTGCAGGCAAGGAACAGTCCTTCACTGTCAAACACTACAGTAGTACCAAAAAATGACACGTCTGTTTCTCATGCTTCCCCTAAATGTGATACAGTGTTGCGGGAACCAAGAACACACAACCGGAACAAGCGGCTTTCTTCTCCAAACAAGTCATGTTCCCCATTAAGCCAACGACTACGTAATGAAAGGTTGGCAATTAAGTTGAACACGGTCACCTGCGCCCTATCAATTGCCCTGTGGGCACCTTACGTGACAGCAACGCTAGCGCACTTGCTACTGTCAGCAACACGATATAGTCACTTGGTATCCGTCCATACCCTAATGCATTTCAAATGGCTGTCTTACACTAGCTCTTTTGCCTATGCAATTGGTTGCGCTGCAGTAGACCGCCAATTATTAACCGTGGCCTTGCACAGCTTACGCTTCAGGAGACTGGCGTATCGAACATGAGCCGACCATATTACATTTCTAACTTTACGTTGTCACCCATTTTATTGCCTGATTTGTGAAGCATTTGCTTTTGATTGTGACTTTAGCATCCTCTTACTTGTTAAAACTATTGAGTTCCGGATCGGGATTTCGCTGATTTCCGTGACCAAGCAAGGTGGTTTCACCTGCTTCATGCTAAACAGAACAGTCCATTACCTTGTACTTAGCCAGCTATATGGCAAATGTCTGTGAACAATCGCGACTGACGCGGAACAGTTATCGGTACTTCGCGATCGCTCCACATTGTGTCTCAAATGAAAAGCCGCATAACCGAGACGGTTTTGACCATTAGTCGGAAGGCTAAGCTAGTAACCTTTCCAGTTGAGTGATAAAGATTAGGTGACGGATGGAACAATGGAACAATGGTTTATTACGTGTAAAATACGCATCGCTTTGCAAGTCCCGTGGGATGGAAATTATTGCGAAACTGAATTGCATAATAAAGTGAAAAGCGTTGTGGTGGACTCACCATAGACTTATGTGGAATAGCGGAGATGTTCGCGTATTGAACGTATAAATCCATAAATCCATTGGTTAGGCGTTTGGCAAGACACCGTTTGATTGCGTTTTGTAGGCCCTGGCTAACAAGTCATAAAATGAAATGTAAGTGAGACAACGCATCGTCAACACGTTTTTTAAATATCGCCAGATTGGGAGCAGAGACGACTTAATTAGAGAGGGCGTTCCAAGGCTGGCACACGCGGAGAGAAAAGAAATTTCTACGGCATTCAAGCCGGCTATACTGAATTGTCAGTTTAAGAGGGTGACCTCTTAGTTTAGTGTTGTGGTTCAATTCCAGCAGCGGACGGAAAATGTGGTTTGGGTTCTTCAGAATCTGGTAAACCATTATGAGATCCCACCGCAAAAGCCGATATCGACTGCTGTAGCTTCTTAGAGATTTCAGTCTAAGCTGATAGGGCAGATGAAAGAGGCCCCTGACGTTCTTGGTTGCCCTTCGTTGAGGAGTCTCGAGAGCAACGAGATCCTGTTTCTGCCACGGCTGCCACGCCTGATTATCATATTCCACGTGAGGCCGCACACTGGCGTTAAGCATTTAGGGAAATATTGAGCGTTTAAACCGACCAAAGGCTCTGCGACGCAGGCCGAAGTGTTGATTTCCGGTTCTCGTCGCCTTCTCTGCTTGTTTTGAACACACGAGATCTTCCTGTACCAATACACCCAGGTCACGCTCCTGATAAACCTTCGCCAAGGTGTAGTCTCCAATCTTGTAAGCGCTCACCGGCTGGTGATGCAGATGCATCACTTTGCACTTAGATATGTGATGGCATTCCTTATGGGAAATAAAACCTATTGCGCCCAACCTTATGAGCAAATGCCAGAAATAAATTCAGGCAATCTGTATGGTGTTGTACAAGTGATTCAGGGAGTCAATCACCTGCAATAAATTTTAGTTGTCCGCACGCTCCGAGATTTAGTCAAGTATCTTAGTCAATCGTCTAATACTAACGTTGCTGCCGCAATGAGGCTGGATATTGCTAAATTGCGATAGATGTCGTGCATCAGCGATCCACTGAGCTACACCGGAAGATGTTTCTTACACCTTCAGAGCCACTCATACCAGCTTGGTAAATCGTTAGATGCCAGACAAACTCAGTCTCCTGGTCGTCCACATTAGGGGTTGGAATGAGGGTGGCTCCTTGTACCTTAACATGGACTCCTTGTAGTCAACTGCCAAATCCGCCGACTAGCGGTCAGGTTTTTGAACGTAAGATTTTGCTTGAGAACACTAATCCTTCTCCTGGTTAGTCCTGGGCAACCTGACAGTATCCTGCCTACTCATTACTATGCATCTTTCTCCAAACAATTTCCTTATGTACTGGCTACCGCAGAGGGTAATCCCTGGCGATCTATCTGCTGCAGCAAGCAAGGTGGATAGGGTTTTGGATGCTACTGTGGAACAATGGTATAATACGGAAAAAAAGCCATGGCTTAACAAGTCTCTTAGGATGGTTTGTGTGAATAACGTTATTTCAAAAAATTGCAACAAAGTGGAAAATGCATCATTGGACTCATCATATTTTCCATAGTAACGCAAAGGTGTATCCGTCTACACTGATTTCGTGGGGCTGGTGAGTATAGTGTTTGTATACGCCATATCGTCACACAATATATAGAAATTAACTTAAGTAATGTAGGTGGTGTAAAACATCATCTAGTGGTTTTTAAAAAAGGGGTAGCGTGGGCGCAGAAGTGACAAAAGTCAAAAGACCGTTCCACGGTTGACAAACTTGTGGGGAAAAGGAATTCCCGCGGTGTCCCAGTTGACTGCATTGAGTGGTCTTTTTCAACTTCGAACCCATCAATTCCTTGTTGCGGCTAAGCTTCAGGAGGTGGCGGCAGGCCTGATCGGGGTTTTTCAAGGTCTGGAACGCCAGCATGACGCCACTCCGCAGACGGCAGTATCTGCCGCTGTACACTCCCAGGTCTCTCAGTCTCCTATGATATTACAGGTCTGACAACCCCTTCACAGGTTTCGTTGCTCTAAGCTGGCCAGCCTTCAGTGAAACCAGGTGGCGTTTTAACCAATGTTGCTAAGCCTCGATTGCGTACTCTAAATGGGGCCTCACACGTGCATTGAGCATTAGGGAAAGTTGGTGGGATCAAACCACCCGAAGACCTTCCATAATAAACTAAAATGTTGGTTAGAGGTTTGGACGCCTTCAAGGACTGCGCCGAGCAGTCGAGGTCGTCTTGCATCACCACCCCTAGGTCTCACTCTTCTGAGACGGTTCTTAATATGTCGTCTCCTAGATTAAATGCGTACTTGGGCTTGTGGCGGACGTGAAAGGGCTTGCATTTTTCTGTGTTAAACGGGAGTATACTTGTCATTGACCATTCAAAGGAATGGTTTAAGTCTCGTTGCAGCATATCGTGATCTTCGCGACAACCGTCTGCCAGCCATATATTGATGTCATCGGCAAAAAGCAGGAAATTTGACTTGAGAACACTCGCAAGGTCCTTACTGAGGAACAAGAATAACAGAGACCCCAAAAATAACCCTTATGGAGCACCACAGTCCACATTATTTTGATCATAAAATGAGACCCGAACTCGGACCTGGAGGCACTGCTGAAGTAGGAAGCTTCCGATCCATCCAAGGACTAGGTTCCTAACTCCCCACGTTCACAGCTTTTGTAGCAGGATGAGGTGATATATGCGGTCGAAGGCTATAGAAAGTCTAGGTAGATGATATCAGTGCCGGTCACACTGTTGGCTATCTCGGTCCAACTGTCACGGGTAAGCAGTAGGTTGGTAGTACATGACCGATGCTAACGGAATCCGCGTTGCTCTGATGCTATGATGTTAAACCTTTCGAACTAGCCCATTACAGCCTAAGCTACGATCAATTCTATCACATTAGGGAGCACCGGGATCTTTCCATATTTTATGCGGTACATCATTTGAGTTTATTTTGTTGTAGAGGGCAGAAGGGTGCTCTCATGTTAGCTCGGTCACTTCCAGCTTAACACAAGAGCACGCATGTCGTCACGGCTCAATAGTTTCCAAAGAACCAGAGCGGTTACATTGACATTAAGACAGTACCGTCCATGCATGTTACGAAGGTTGGTGTCCAAAAGTCACTAGAAACTTTCCGCGGTCGGCACAACGACAAAAGTCTTTGGTGGACCGTTCCAGTAATTCACTTCCCAGTGGAAAGAGCGAAGCGGTGTGGACTTGGAGCTTCCTCGGTTTGAATAGCTTCCAGTTGTGATTCCGTATCGGGCTGGAAAAGCTGCTGTAGCCAGTTACCTAATTTCCGTCCCTTTATTTGCCTCGTAAAAATGAGACACCCCAAACGAAGACGGTAATCCATAAAGAAAATCAAATCTACTAAAGGTGGGGGACTAAGGAAGACCACGAAGCCCTGAAATGGACTAAGAGTCACGCATCTGGACTTTTCGATTAAGACATATTTAAGCCTATGGATTGGAAATGCAGCTGACAGACCATAGATTAGAATCGGTCAAATTTGAGAAGTGAACAAAGCTTGAAAATCTTTGGTGTCCTTTGAGAAAAGGATCTCTTTATGGTACACCACAACCAGGTTGCGGCGACTACTCTTTTCGGTTTATCATGTGGGGCTTTTAGGTCTGGTGCTAGAAATACGCCTAGATCTTTCTCCTGAGCGGGGTGCTTGAGAAGGAAAGCCCCAGTGTAATATGTTTCAAGTGGCTCAGACGCCTCAGTCGACAGAGTGCAGCAGTTTCTGTAGTTTATTGGTAGGACCCACTTGATGGACCAGTCGTAAATATGCTCTGGGTTACCTGTAGGCGTTCAGCATCGTCCAAGTCATATACTTAGGAGTACAGTTTGAGATCACCGGCATAGATCACACGTTCGGTTTGTAGTGTTCAAGTCAAGTCAGTATGAGCTTTATGTACCCAAATGTTGCAGGAAGACCATTGATGTATAGCTTGCACAGTCCGGGTCCAATAACAGATCCCAGTAGAACACTAACATTGACGCTAACATTGACCTACTCTCACATTCCTTAGTTCATTTGTTTTGCGTTTCTGCGCTTCGAACCATTGTAACGTAGGAAGCTTTCATTAAAACGATCCCATACTAGGCCTGCACTTTCTGCTTCGTCCATCAGGCTGCGGACCATACTTAGCATTCTGTCGACGGGGTTAAAATACTACGGTATTACAAGTACCTACCTTGCTTTGAAGTATTCCTTCGGAGTAATCCCTACCAGCTACCTAAAACTGCTGAAAACGCACTTCTTTTTAGATTATTTGGGGTTATTGACCGTTTCGTAACAAAATACGGTGCTCTCAGATTCAAGTCAGGATAAGCATCACGTATCCAAATGGGTGCATTTACAGCATTTCAATTTTTTACTTGGAAATTTACCAAATGGTTAGCAAAAAAATGCTTCGTTTAGAATTGGGTCGAACAATGAGAAAGATGCACTGTCATAGATCAGCCGAGCTACGATCCCAAAACGTTGAAACAAATCTTAGTGAGTTGTATCCATTCAAATCGGAAAAGGTTTTAATAAGATCTTTCTTCGGAAT